TTTCTGGTGAAGTAAGCGATATACGCCACCAATGACAAAATGTTCATCCTGGCTCTCCTATTAGGCGAAGAGATTATGGCCAAAAAGTCCTCTAAAAATCGTCGAGGTGGCAATGGAAGTACTACCGGCTAATTTTGATATTTTCTGAAAATATAGGTCTTGAGAAGTTCAGAACTCAAAATTACCCAAAATCCCTTTGGGGGAAGACCTCAAAATTACGCATTCAAAATGGCCGCCATTTTTCTGCTTTAAATTATAGTTTTAGCTAAATTATATAAAAAATAACATTACTCGAATAATAATTTTTAATCATCGAAAATGAATCTTGCATTAAACTTAACTACAATTTCAATCACCATAGCAACCGTTGCTATGCAAATTAAAATTTCCTATTTTATGTATGAAATTTAAGTATACAGGAAGCTTAAAGTTTATTAAAATCATTATTTTCATAGGTTTTATGAATATTTTTAACATCTGAATTATCTATCATTATCATAGAATAGGATTATGTAAAAAAATCCTGAAACATTGATATAATTGCATAGCAACACTCTTGTTATCGTCCATAGCAACGAAGCAAAATCAGCAGAATTGCCGCGGACATTTGTCATTGAAAAAGCAAAAATCCTGATACACAATATATTTACATAATAGACATCTCTTATTGAACAAAGTTAACACATTGACGTATAAAATACAAGGTCATCACCATAGCAACTGTTGCTATGCAAATTTAAATTTCCTATTTTTTTCATAAAATAAGTATATAATGAAGGCCTAAAATTTAGTAATAAATTAGTATAGGATTTATGAAAAAAATGTTTATTAAATATCCTAAGATAAACACAATTTAGTATGAAAGCAAGGTCATCACCATAGCAACTGTTCCTAATTAAACTATCCTATTTTTTGTGTAAATTATTAAAATGAAAACCTGAACTTTATTGATATAATTAAAGGTTTTGCGAGAGATGATAAGTAAATATTATTATTGTAAGATAACATAAATGAAAGATAACATATTAATGTGAGTACGATATGGATTTTTATCGCCATAGCAACGAATAAAAATCACTGAATTGCTGTTAATTTGGCTTTACTTTTTTTTAAATAACACAGTCTTTGTTAAAAAAAAGTTGTACATAATGTTGTTAAAAATAGGTAATCACCATAGCAACCATTGCTAGCAAACGTAAGGAAAACTTTAAGTTTAATTAAAAATGTTTATTAAATGTTTATTAATATTTATTTCATTTCATCAGACCAGCAGGGTATCATCACCACTAAACTATATAAAATTTAAATATCATAGGAGAACATTAATGAATAATATGTAGTGGTGTGTAGAACAAAACGTCATTACCATAACAACCATTTCTAAGCACATTCTAATGTATAATGAAAAATTAAAATGTAATAATGTTATTAATATCATGATAAAATTCAGTTATAATACATCTCAAAATAATTCCACGTACATTTATGATTAAACAAATTATGAAACAGTGGTGTAAAAAAATACAGTGTCCTCACTATGGTAACAATCACTATATAGGCTCAGACTAAACGTTAGTTGAGGTACTTAAGATTTGATCAACATATCTTCCCAAATATTTTTCATTTTTCATCAAGCCATCTGTTTTTAATTTAATTGAAGCATTGTGCAATGGTTCTTCATACATTCTGATAACAACTGTATAGTTTATAATATACATAGGGGGCCTACATATCTTCCCAAATTTTTCTTATTTGTCCATATCTTCGATATCTATGTCTTAGTTATGTAATCGTTTTAGTTTTTCAATAACATGCCATGTTTTTTAATTCATACACATCATAACCCATTCTGCCACCCATTCTGCTCAGACTAAACGTTAGTTGAGGTACTTAAGATTTGATCAACATATCTTCCCAAATTTCTTTCATTTTTCATCAAGCCATCTGTTTTTACTTTATTTGAAGCATTGTGCAATGGTTCTTCATACATTCTGATAACATACTGTATAGTTTATAATATACATAGGGGACCTACGTATCTTCCCAAATTTTTCTTATTTTGTCCATATCTTCGATACCTATGTCTTAGTTATGTAATCTTTTTAGTTTTCAATAACATGCCATGTTTTTTAATTCATACACATCATAACCCATTCTGCCATCAGATTCTTCCTATAATTCTAGTAGTAAATCTGTCACCTGCCACTACTGTAGGAATCTAACATCTAAAGATTCCAATGATGATCTGTGTGAATTCTCCTGCCCAACATTGTTCCGAATCTGCAGTTAAAATTTTAAATATCCAAGCTTTATAAACTATCACAGTTGGTCATTTATAATGAATAGGCACTGTTAAACCATGAGGTGTGTGGATATGTGACAGATATAGAATCAACCAAAGCTGGAAAGCAACAGCATCCACATGAAATGGGGGCATTTGTGTATCATTCTTGTATTACTTCTCGTGACATGCCCTGCCAAACATTTCAGCAATTGGAAAAGCTCATTTCCTGCCATCTAGAAATTAAAATGTTCCTGGGGGTAGCCCGGACCACTTTCTCGTTGGGGTTCATTAATTCATGAAATCGTTTTCAGTAGGCGAAAACCTTGAATTTTAAAGAACTTTAAAGTCATTAAAAAACACCTCAGAATGCGGGAAAGCTCATTTCCCCCATTCTGGAATCAACATTTTCCCGGGGGAGGACCCCCGACCCCTTTCTTTTTGAGATTCATGTAATAAGAATACGTATGCAATTACTCAATTTTTGTTTATGTATACAAACAAAAGGCCTATTTGCTGTAATAAGCATGAGAAAAATTTATCCGGACCGTAAAGAGGAGAAAACCTTGAATTTTGAGCAACTTAAAAGCCGTTAAAAGACTTCAGAAGTCGGGAATGCTCATTTCCTACCATTTAGAAATCAACATTTTCCTGCGGATAATCCGAATCCCCCTTTCTCTTTGGAATTCATTGATTCATGGAATCGTTTTCAAGAGGGGAAAACCTTGAATTTTGAAGAACTTAAGTCATAAAAAGACACCTCAGAAGTCGCAAAAGCTCATTTACCGCAATCTAGGAATCAAAATTCTCGGGGGAGAACCCCTGAACCCCCATTCTCTTTGGGATTTATCGATTCATGGAAAAAAGAACACGTATGCAACTATTCATTTTTTATGTAGGCCTATGTACCGTATACGCACACATAACATGACTATTTACTGTACATAGCCTAATAAGAATGAGAAAGTTTACCGAACCATTTTCAAGTGTTGGAAAACCTTGAATTTTGAAGGATTTTAAAGTCCGCAAGTCATTAATAGACACATAGCTCAAAATAGGGAAAGCTCATTTCCCACAATCTAGGAATCAACATTTTCCTGGACTCCCCTGAGCCACCACCCCCCCCCCCCCCCCCCCCCACCACTTCCTTTTTGGGGTTTTTGGGAAACATTTTGGCCCCACCCACCAAATTTGAACCCATTCATATTCCAATTCATCTTATTCTAATACCACACTAATTCTAATACCACACAACGGTGGCAGAATGTTTTTGAAGTTGGGGGCATTTCATGAGGTCCAATATGCAAGCGAAGCGAGCATCTAGGATGGGGGCCAGGGGCCACCAAGAGCCACCGGTGGGGTCTACGGATATTTTACGAAGTTCGGTGAATTATAAGTTATTTTAGGCCTATAGGCATCAAGCTACTGTAATGTGACTTCATATTTGTTATAATTTCCAGTGGCGGATCCAGGAATTCGAAAATAGAAGGGCCCAGGGAGGGTACTTTCACAGATAGAAGATCCACCTCAGCCCCACCATGGTTGGGGTTGAGGTAGAAAATATGTGATTATGGCACCTCTAGATTGGCGGGAAACTACACTCTCAGACTTTTTAATTTTGAATATAATTTTGTCCATTTAAAAAAGAAAATTGAACAATATAGCCCCCGCCCTTGAATGCGTCACAGATTTCAGAAAAAATCGGGAAATGTGGATTCCTAGAAGGCGGGAAATGAGCTTTCCCGACTTCTGAGGTGTCTTTTAATTACTATGAATTTATTTCAAAATTCAAGATTTTCCTCCTTTTGCAAATGATTCAGATGAATCAAGCAACCCCAAAGAAAAAGGGGGTCTTGGTTCCTCAGGGAAAATTTCGATTTCTAGAATGCGGGAAATGAGCTTTCCTGACTTTTGAAATGTCTTTTAAATGACTTTTTATGTTCTTCAAAATTCAAGGTTTTACCCTCTTGAAAACGGTCAGGTAAAATATACATACATACATAAATGAATGAGTAGTTGCATATGCGTATTCTTTTTTTCACGAATCGATAAATCCCAAAAAGAAAGGGTGGTCCGGAGGTTCTTCAACGGGAAAATTTTGATTCCTAGATGGCAGGAAATAAGCTTTTCCGACATTTGAACTGACGTGTTTTATTGACGTTTATGTGCTTCAAAATGTTGCTCAAAGGGAGGGGTAAGGATCCATTACCCTCTCCCCTAGATCCGCCAATGTGAATTGCGAGAAAATGAACTCGGTCTGGGACTTCATAAACATTCTCTTTTCCATCCTTCTCGTGTGTTTGTCTTGAAATGTCTATTTTAACTTTTATATTTAAAATTCTATATAATCTTTTCAATCGATTATTATTATCGTTATTATTATTATTATTATTATTATTATTATTATTATTATTATTATTATTATTATTATTATTACAAAAATAGTTGTATATTTATATGAAATTTTATGTTTATTATTTACTGTTTTGCTGTTTTAGTGTTTCTTATATTTGGCGACCCACCCGACAGAGATCTAGTATCTCTTTTTGGGAAGCCTGCCTCCGTTTTGTCTGTTTTTTGTGTTTTTTGTGTCCATTTTGAAGAGGCGAATAAATAAAATAAAAGAACTTGTTTTTTATCTAAATGTTATATGAGAAAATATATACGACCTTTGACCACCACGAGAAGAAGGAAAGTGCTTCGGTTCAATGAGCACAGGCTTTATTCTAATAGCTTGCTGATCGTATCGTACCGTAACTCTAAACTGGCGCCCGGCGAGACACTTTTGCAGTTAAAAAGAGATATTTCTGAATTCTCATTGGAAAATGGTGAACGATACAGTGCACCCGTTTTACCCACGGGATCTGGATGTACCAGGGTATGTCCCTAATGACATCACAGTATCTAGAATGCTTACTGTAGCCTTTAGTTGTTTTGGGCTGGCTTTCATTGTGTCTTGGTTGATCTCTAGCAGCGCACGATCGGTTGGTGAGCGTCTAATGCTCTCCTGGTTTGGGTTATCGGGAGCTATTCATTGCAGCATTGAACTTTACTTTAGCCTTTATCATAGAACGCTAGTTGCTGATTCAAGCTTTTTATCTCAGTTATGTAAGTATAAATAGTGCGTTTGTTTAAGGGCTTTTGTTGCTTCCTTAGAGCTCCTGTAGCAAAAAGGCCCACACCAGGATGCTAGACCTAGCTTGTTGGATAGGCCTCTCAGGACAAATTTGGTCCGGGGCAAAAATCGGTCCGGCGGACAGATTTTGGCCTCATAATTACTTGCCAAATTTAGTCCACATAGGCTAAAATCAGTCTAAAATTTACTGTGCTGCACAGCACACTTGGAAATCATACGTCCGCAATAAATTTTGGCGGAAAGAACAATTCCTAAGCTTTATTTACAGACGTGCATATGCTTATGCTAGCCAGTCACAATGACGTCCCTAGCTGAAGCCTGAATTTGCATACATCACCCTATATAAGAGATCGGCATGTAGTATTCGGGTTTAGTTGATAGTAGAGCCTTCGCGGATAGTGAACATTGGAATAACAGTAAGGAAGGACTAAGCTATGTACACAGATATATTCATATAACTCATACCGGTAAAGATATATATATATATATATATATATATATATATGTGTTGGATTATCTTTTGAAATTTAAAACAAAAGTTAGGTAATTGACGCTAATGACATCATTTAATCTCTTTTATTTTAGAACAATGGATTAGAGGGACCCTACTGACGTCATTTAATCCTTTACAATAAAGAACAAAAGACTAGTATACTTAATTGTTTACGTCATGATGCAGTGCCAGATGTGTTGGATTATCTTCGAAACTGAAAACAATAGGGCAGTCATTAAAGGTGCTAAAAGGAATTAAATCAAACAATTTGAATGTAATTGGAATAAACAATAGGATTAGCGATGTTTTTAATAGGATTAATTGTTTGTGACATAGGGATACCTGTGACAATTCGGGGACTTGATAGTTTGAATAGCCCGGGTTAACATAGGGTTATGACGTCTTGTATTCAAT